CTTAAATTTGAAGTTACACGCTGTAGAAATTCCCAACGCTGTAGTAAAGTACTATTAGAAGACATAAAGAATGCAGATCGTATTTCCAGTATATGCCGTATTTTTGTGTTTTTAAAAATTCGAAGCACCGGCGGTGCGACACGCTAGCTAGTAATAATAATAATCAGAATAAGCATAATTATCTTTTTTAATAGTAATCATAATAGTAATGATAGTAATCATATTAATGATCAAATCTGAAGTAGGAAAGCATTGTGGTAAAATTACACCTCAATGGTAAACCAATAATACATAGTTATAGATCTTCTGAAGTTTTTATTTACGATCAGTCAATAAACTGCATTCAATTAACATCCTCAATGAAAGTCAATTTTAAACCAATAATCCGTAAATTATGATCTTCTGAAATTTTGAAAGCATTTTATTGACTGATCGCATTAAAAATTTCTGAAAATCGTAATTTATGGGTTCTGGTTCACCATTGACTTTCATTGAGGATGTTAATCGAATTCAATTTATTGACTGATCGCATACGAGTGACATCTTCAATGAACTTCAATTTATTGCCTAAGAACCTCGGTCAGATGAGTCATCGTCAACTACCGGTGTTCGTCCACAAAGTAAAAAAAACACCTACACTTTGGGAAATTCCGAGCTCGTTGATTGTAGTTTTAATAATTGTTAAATTAACTCAGTTTTGGTTGCGGCTGATGATGCCAAATATGATTACGATGTCGGTTTAAAATTTTGAGGGCTTCAAATCCTCTTAGTTTTTGAAAAATTGCCAGTTTTTTTATGATCAAAGAAAATCTTGGCGAAAAATATCCAAACGTCATTTTTAAATATTATTTAAATAACAACAAAGTCAAGAAATAGTTTGTGTATTTGTTGGGGAAATATATTCTTTCTTTCTTTTTTTATCAAAATTTTCTTTCTTTCGTTATGAAAAATGAAGCATTTTAATTTTTCCTGTTTTGTAACACAATTTAGGAAAAATAAAGAGAAAAATCTGATTTGCAGATTTTTCACTACAAATGAAATATTTCCAAACTGTTTTTGGTTTCTTTAAGTTTTTTTCAATTTAGCTGCCTGATCTAGAGCCGTGTATAGTGTTGCAAGGATTAAACTTAAAATGCGAGACCTCCAAACTTTTCAGTATAGCTGCATTTTGTTGCAGGGTTGCACTTTCACATTTAAATTGACTTTCACAATTTTTAGTCTTTGAGATGGTGAAGAAAGGTGGCCAAGATTTCTAGAATTCAAATTTCTTAATCTGCTAAACTGGGAATTAGGAGATGACTTCCTCTCTCATCGTGTTTTGTCGTTTTCTTTTTAAGAGTCGATAAACGTAGTCGATTCCTGAAAAAAAAATCAGCGCGACCAATAGAAGTCTAAGAATTAGTCTCAAATTTAATTTTCCGCGGTTTGACTTTGATTTTTTTTAAGTTAAGTTTCTTTTCTTTGTTGAAAGGAAGGCAAACTCCTCTATCGAACAGCAAAAACGTACAGGTCACGAAAAACTTTGATCGAATTTTAGTTTCGAAAATGGAAATTAATTATCAGATTTCCCAGCGAAATAAAAATTCAACTTTTCGATCCAGTTTTCTCGAATTGGGCTACATTTATCAATATTTATCAATCATAAATTGTTCTAGAAAATCAAGGAGCTTGAAGGGCATCCAGTTTTTCCTTCGAAAATCTAAAGTTGGAGATTTTTTTCATAAAACAAGTCAGCATTTTTTCTGTTTACTTCCCTTCACTGGCTCTTTTCCAACCGTCTGATGACTGTTTTTTCTAATTGTTATTATAGCTCTTGTTTGCTGTTGTTTCGTTGTTGCTTGTGAAGTGAAGTTTAACGGTAGGGTTCATTTACTGTAATGTAGTTTGTTAGAAATCAAACTTATTGATACATTTCAACTTGTATATAGTTCTTATCGTTTTGTTGGATTTTCTTCTGATAGGAGGGGGGTTATTTTTGTTTTGATTACCAGACTTTTTTCCGTAAACAACTTTTCTTTCATAGTTTTTAACCTGCTATACTATTGGGTCTTAACAACTACCTTCCTTCACAGTTGGCATAGAGTAAATAGCGTCGCATTTTCATCCTAAGATGCGGGGTTTGAATCACGATCGGACCTTGTTTTTTCAGTATTTATGCAATTTAAAAAAATTATTCCGGTTTAAATTAATTTTTTGGGCTTTCATTTATCTGCTAAGTTCTGCCGGCTAAGTTGCACATCACGGATATTTCTTGTGTTGTAAAATAGTACTGGTATTAGTTTTTTGTAGTTTTAGGCGGGACTTGAAACTTATTAATGTTTTCGTATTTTTTTGAAGTTTGTTTTTTATTATGGTGTCGGCTCAAAGTGAAATTTTTTGAAATATTGGATCTTTGCCAAAGACATACCATTTGTCTTACAAAAAATCAAAGAATCGCCCCATCTTCAGGAAAAACTCTTGCATCTGGTTTTTCCAATTTCTAAAAAACGGTGGAGGTTCATAAATTTTTGAAATCCTTTTTTTTTCGGCAAACAGGTCGTGACCGCTTAACAAAAGAAATTTCCCGGAAAAGGTAATATCAAAAAGGATTTTTAGGCAGACATGCCAAGCAAAACATTTGAATAAGCAACGGAATAAAATCACGAAGCGGAAACGAAATTTTTTAATGTTTTTTTTTTCTAACGTTTTTTAATGTTTATTTTAATTCTGGCGTATGCGCAAAGTGGTCGGCTTTGTTTTCGCTTAGTGAGTTTTGTTCCGTTGCTAATTCAAATGTCTTGCTTGGCATGTCTGCCTAGAATTCTTTTTGATAATTATTTTCGGGATTTTTCTCTAGTTAAGTGGCCACGACCTTTTACCGTTATTTAGAAGTTTTGAATTTTCTTAAAAAGTAACGTTTTAAATATGAGACTAAAAATTCAATTGGAAAAACCAGATGCGACAGTTTTTCCTGCAGAAGGGCGATTCCTGGAGTTTTTGTACGAGAAATTGTATGTCTTTAGGAAAGTTTCAATATTTCAAAACTTTTCACTCTACCTATTTTAGTAGAAAAACAAATCAGGCTATTCTACCGATTTTCAAACAAAGTCTAACAATAGAACAAAAGAATACTCTCCTGTGTGTCTGCATACTGCCTTAGTCTTTTTTGACTTTACCCTTCTCTCTAGAGCTTTGAAAAAAGTAAGTCTGTAGGGAATATTTTACCCATTTTTTCCGTTTTCGCGAAAACAACCCTCTCAAATCTGAGATTTTGGTTTTAATGAATTGAATGGTTATAGGAAAGTTCACCTGCATAAGCAGCTACGCCAAAAAAAAATTTCACATTTTTACACAAAGTTTTCGCCCTCTGAAAAGTCACATGTTTTGTTTTTGATCGTTTTTCAAGTTCTTTAAATTTTTTCGAAAACTAACCTTGTATATTTGACACTTTGGGTTCAATCCAGAGAACGTGTTGTGGGTGTCTCATTTGCATACGCGACTACGCCCAAAAAATTTTATACAAAGTTTTGGCCCACGGAAAAGTTAAAAGTTTGATTTTTATACTGTTTTTTTTTTCAAGCTTCGAAATTTCTGAGAACTACTCTCTCAAAATTTGGCCCACGGAAAAGTTAAAAGTTTGATTTTTATACTGTTTTTTTTCAAGCTTCGAAATTTCTGAGAACTACTCTCTCAAAATTTGAGTTTTGGGCCTAATCGAAGATACAGGTTGCATGAAACTCTTTGCATGAGCGGCCAAATCCAATTTTTCATAGTTAAAAGCTGTAATTCTCAAAAACCTAAATTTTGAATTGTCAATTGTTTTGTTTTTGGCCGGTTTTTTTTTGAATTTTCTCGATAACTATCCTGCCGAAAGCTAATAACTATCTCTATAATTGGATACGCCCATTCTTTTCAAAAAAAAAATTTTGGCCTTCACAAACTTTGACCGTGTTTTGATAACTTTTTGAATTTACTCGATAATGCCGCCAATTCTTAGGTTAAGTGTTCAATCGTAAAAATCGGTTCCGGGATTATTCTCTGCTTTAGCGGCCACGACCTGTTTTTTGAAGTTAAACGTTATTTAATAGAATTTTTTTGAGTTCTCTTAAAAACTAACCTATCGAATCTGAGTTTCAATTGAAAGAGCCGGTTGCTACAATTTTTCTGCAGAAGGAAGACTCTTGTAGATGTTTTGTAGAAGAAATATTCCAATATTTCAAAAATTTTCACCTTAACCTATTTTAGTAGAGAAACAATTTTTTTTCCAAAGTTTTCACCCTTCCCCATTTTAGTAGGGAAGCAATTAAGGTTGTGGCAAAGTCCAATTTTTGAAATACCGCATTTCGTCCTGCATCAGTGTAACGATTTTAAAAGTTTCAAACCCGTAACTCTACCTTTACTTGGGTCTCTAGTTGTCTTTTATCGAAACTACGAAAATTTTGGTTCACATAATTTTTTTCAATATATTTTTTAAACTTTTTTCGCAAGTGGTGCGAAGCTCCTCTTCGATTCTGTGTTTTTAAATTTTCTTCTGGTTCTGATTTTTTTTTTCAAGTTCAATTCAAGTTCATATGCTAAAATGGAGGAAGTTACGCGCTTCAATAACGAAAGTGCAAATCGCCTTTTGGTTTGTTGTTTAATTTCTACTCCGATCAAGTCTCAGCAATATCTACAAAAATACTACTACCTTCAAAATAACATCACTCTCACAGCGTGTCCATTCTGCCATATGTCATTTCAATAGTCGACCATCTGGGCCCTAATTTGCACGAAAATTTTTATCCGACAGCTTGCTAACGAGCTGATGTATTTCAGTTAACGCTCACCGTCGTTACAGTGCTGAAGATTATCTTTGCGTATTGTTTTCATAAGAAGCGAAAGCATTCTATGTGCGTTAGAATGAATAATTTTTCATGTGCATTCTTGTATGAATATTTTTTCATGTGCATTCTTGTAGTGTCTAGAATGAAGAATTTGAGCGGCTTGGTCCTCAAAGGGGTATAATTTTTTCTTTCAGTTGTGTTATGTCGAAAATTTTTCTTTCAGTTGTGTAATGTCAAAAAGTTGGATAGCGCTGCGGCGTTCTAATTTTGTACTATCAAATAATTGCCTTCAATGTCACAGTTTAATGCGAACTTCGCCTGTTTCAAGCAGTCATCAGAATAAAAATGTTACCCCGCAGTTTCAACAATCGTCTTCGCAATCTCAAGTTGCTACTCATTCCTTGCTACAGTCTATAATCGGAACAGGTGACCCATTAGTTGTAAAGAGATGGGAGAACTTCAGACCTAGCTTACCCCAGCCCAAAACTGCCTGGATTGACCAACTGACGAATGTTGAATGGGGTTATCCAGTCGGTTTGGTGACACTACATCCAGATGTCTGGTACACACACCCAAGACTAGATCTTCTTAGAGAAGTGGTTGATTGGCAGGATAAGTACAAAAAAGTGGAGTGGGATTTTGTTCCAAATCGGGGAGAGTTGGTTGGTGGCGGACCTAAACCATGGCCTCAAAAGGGTACGGGCAAAGCACGACAAAGTAGTGTCAATGCACCGCATTGGAGAGGAGGAGCTGGTCCCTTTGGACCGCGAGGTCCCCACTCTTTTTACGTACCAATGGCACCTGAGAAGCGAGCACATGCGTTACGCATTGCGTTAACATGCAAATATTTACAAGATGACGTCAAATTTGTTACTGATTATTCCGATGTGTTTCCTACTGGTGACGAGTTTTTGTCCGAAGTACGAGAATCTAGAGGTTGGGGCTTCATGGCACTTTTTATTGGTTTGAAAGAAGTTGAAGATTTGCCAGAACACTTTCGAAGTTGTGTTGTCGGACAAAAAGATATTCACTACTTGCCTCTGGGAATGATAAGCGTTAAAACTTTGATGAAGTTTCCTACAATTGTAATGGATATGGCTACTTTAGATGAACTGGAAGCGAAACTTCTGTTCCAGATTCATAAATTTTCAGAAGCTTCAAAATACCCGGGAACTGAAGAAGTCATGAACTTCATGAAAAAATTGTCTTGTATTGAATCTTAAATTACTGCAAGCTTTGTCTGCTTTTATGAATCATGTTTTTGTTTAAATATGAAATTAATTTTTTTCTTTCATTGTTGTTATCATGGACCTCAGTGCATGTGCGTAGTATGAAAGTGTTCATTCTGCTGGATCTGTGAAAAATCGTGATTCAACATGATAATTTAATATAAACCTGAAAGGTAGGACATTATACATCTCGTTTTTCGACTTAATTGATGTCTCAGATAGATCTTCAAGGTTTTGTTCTGAGCCACATAGTGTAGCTGATTCAAATCATGGGCTGTTCCCTTTAGGGTTAGATATGTATTGAGCCTGAAACTGCTCGATTTTATTGGGACATTTGAGGCAGGGGCAAATTTGTGGGGCGGACGCTTCTCCCTCAGGGATTCGGCCCCTGCCGGCCCAAAGAGTCCCCCCTTTGAACTGTTTTAAGTTATCCATTTTTGGCCGACGAACCTTAAAATTTTCAAAAAGCGACTTCGGCGCCAGTATTCACTAATTTTAAGGGGTGATCGCCGGGTGATTTTTAGGCCTTTTTTGCCCGTTTTTTTTCAAAATTTTGCCTGCGGCGCAGAAATTTTGGCTAAAACAGGCAATTTTTAGTGCTTGAGGAGAGCTCGGAAAATCAATTTGGTGGAACTAAAAAAATACGACAAAATTTCGGAAAATTTATGAAAATCCGCCCACCCTCGAGAAAATCCTAGATCCGCCCCTGATATGAGGTCGTGGAGAAACTTGATAATAATAGTCATAATAATCATAATAATAATAATAATCATAATTTCCATAACAATCATGATAATAATGATAATAATCATCATAATAATAATTGTAATAAATAATAATAAACATAATAATCATATTAATAATCATAATAATCATAAAAATACTAATAATAATCATAGTAATGATAATCATAATAATAGTAATAATAATCATAATAGTAATAATCATAATACTAATCATAATAATCATATTACTATAATGACAACAACAACAATGATAATAAATTGTTTCCAATCTAGGAGAACCATAAATATGTCAGGGTTATTTATTACTCGGTTATAAAAATATGAATTGGGAGGACGCCATTAGGTTGCAAAAGTTTAATGTCAGGAAAAAGATAGGCTATTTTTTAAAAGTTGTCTCCTTACTTCAGCAAAAAAACAAATTTGAGTAAACGTTCTTAATCTTTTGTTTGGGTTCATGCATCCGTGTCACTAGAAGACAAATCAGTTGGATTTTTTTTTTGCAAAACAATGTCAACTGACCGTTTGTGAGTTAAAACACGTAGATGTGGGTGGAGTATATCTTGTGCTCAATTAACTCCTCTGGCAATTAGAGCAAACTACCACCCTCCATTGTGTGGCTAGCTGCAAAAACAAATCAAATTTAGAACGCTACGACAGATTTGCTTTCACAAATTAACAAATATTTCGCTCGTTTTTATCCACCTGGGAATTCAACTTGACATTGCGCGTTTGCTAGCGGTTAGTGCTCAACTAAGATAGGAAAAACTCGATCGATTTTGATTTATTTGGTTTCCAAGCCTCCCTGAAATCCTCGCAATGACTTTTTGCCGATGGAAACAAATGGTTTATAAATATTTATTGTTAAATGTAAAATTTTGCCTCTCTGACATCGTCTTGGTTGGATAAATCAGCCTCAGGCTCAGGCTCAATAATGGACTCATTTCTTTTGTGCTAGCTAGATGCATTAGCGAAGTGATATAGGTTCTCCTTCTTCACTTTTCCACTTCGGTTTGTTTTGATGGAGGGTTTCCACTTTAAGGCCGACTTATTAACAACCCCCACCCTTCAACTAGGTTATATTTCATTGCTCTTCATTGACTTCTCAATATAGAGTTTGAATGAGATTGAGATTAAGTTGAGCCACTTAATCGCCTTTTTTGCTCGTCCGTGAGATTGAGATTAAGTTGAGCCACTTAATCGCCTTTTTTGCTCGTCCGCCGAATTTGAAAACCTTCTAATTTCTGAGGTGATATCCACTTAGACTCGGGAGAGAAAAGGAAGTTTTTTCCTCTTTCCGTATTACAGGGATTTGTTTGATAAATACCTAACTGATCAGAATTAGGTGTAAATTCTTCAGATAAGCTCAGTGAATTGCTGAGTACTTCATTGGCTTGGTTGAAGGCGTGAAATATGCTTGGATACACTTGCGTTAAGTAATGAATAAAGCATTAGACACAATGGCCCGGAAACGCCGCGCTATGAAGTGGCGTTTCCTTTCCCTCGATTGGCTAATTTTATCAGGAAAGCAGTTAAGTTTTGAGCTGCAAAACTTAGCTATATTTAAATTGTGTTTTAGCCGGAGCATTCGGATTGATTGGTGAAAAATATGTGGAATAAAATATTGTTTATTATTTTGCTAACTTCTATTAAAAGTTTGAATAGTTTTTTTTTCGCATGCAAAATCTTATCTTTGGCCAAGCGGAATGGTTAATGGTGTCGAATCATTTTTTGGTATAGTTCTCTATCATCTTTGCCGCCGTGCAACTTTTGGTTGAATTATTTAACAAAGAGACGGATAACAATGCGAGGCAGCTTTTTCTTTTGATTCATTTCTGAAAAAAATCTGATTGGATCGTTTTTTGTTGCGGTAGTACTGTGCTGGTACATTGGAGAACATAAACGCTTTTGTCCCTTGGCAATTTCAATTTAGTCCCTTCAAAGTATGAAGCGGGTTATGAATGCTCTGCCTTATTCGCCTGTGCAGACCCTACAACTTCTGAAGTGAGACTACCTTAACCAACTATCCGCCCGCGGAGAGCACTGGTTATTATTACTAACTTTGTTTTGAAACATTTATCTCATTCCGTTTATTATCTTCTTTACTTTTACTCCCTCTATGTTATAACACCACTGATAAAGTTATCGCAATTGTCGCTTTTTTATAGGTCCTTCAAATGAATTCGAAAATCTTAACGGACCCTAAATGAAATTTTAGATGCTGCCATATTTTTTCTAGGCGAGCCAAGCTAATTTAAGCGTGTTGAATTTTCCTTGCTTTGGCGTTCATTACTTTTGCTTTCCCTGCAAATTAGTGTCAATCGATAGACGTAGTCTTGATACTTTTTCATTCATACTCAACCATACATACTATTCATCAAAATTGAATATTGTATATGTGGCATATTCGGTTACAACTTCCTCATAAATAACTTATCAATATTTTCATTCCGTGGGTAAAAACTATGTGGTGCCTCGGATAATACTAGATTACTACAAAATTAGTAATTTGCTACCAACTTCCTTGTGTTTAGACATTTATACATGTGAATGTACTTATTTTCGAACCTGATTTAGTTGAAAATTAGACTTGTTAGAGACCATCTTTGCAGTTTACCTCGAAACACGGTTGTGTCGTGTATTCGGTGTTTTAACATTGTTGAGGATAGAAATCCAACAGTTATTCGGGACGAAATTGGGATCCTTGTTTGTAGACATGTTTTGACTTACCAGAAAACAATGTTGGTAACAAATCTAGTGGTCCATAAAAAAGAATCCTCGCGGTCTAGGACGTGGTCAATAGACCTTTAAATATACATTGTCAACGATCTAAAGCGACGGTCTGACATGAAAAGGTATATCGGAAGCGAATTCTAGTTAAAGCTCTCTAGGATCAGTCAAGTCCTCAGCAGTTGTATTAAATTTGCCAGGCCGTTAACACCAACTGAACTTATGTACCTGTGCGCCTTTGAATTTGACTCAATTTGTTCAGATTTGAGAGCGGATTGGACATTATTTATGATTGGGTTTTTGCGTTTATGACAGCGCTTATTATTCCAATCTGCGGAAATTAGCTGTAGATTTAATACCCGAAGTTTTGGTGTTCTTATTTGCTACTCACTACGATGAAAATTGCCAAGCGATTAGTTACCAACGCAGTCTTCAGGATATCGTTTGGAGTGGCTTTGATAGCTAGTAAGTGAAGTAATCAAATATTTTTAATTCTTGTTTAAGAGAATTCTTAAAAGTAACTAGGTAATATAAATATCTTCATCAAAGAGGTTGAACAATCATTTTGAAAAATTGAACTGAAAAGGGACTTTGCGACTGGTTTCTCAAGTTGAACGGGTATTTTTACGATTTTTTGGAATTTAAGTAACTGTGGTATAGTGGCGGGAACAAATTTTGGGTTTGGTTTTTTCCCTTGAAGTTAGATACACGAAATGAAAATGTTACCGTATTTAGAATGAGTTATCATCTTAATGCACTTTCAGTCCTGATAATGATGCCAAAAAAAGTAAAAATTCCATTTTCATACCTTTGATATGTAGCAAAATGAAAAATCACTCCCATTTAAAGCAAAAAAATGATATATCATTCCGGCTGATTACTCTTGCTATTAGCAAGCGTTACCAAATGAAAATGACTTTTTTTGGGTTCTCTTTTAGTTTAACAGAATTACTTGGCTTAGTTTACACCTTGGTTCATGAAATCGAAAGGCGTTAGTTTGCTCTTGTGGCGTTGAGGTAACGCTCCTGCCTACAAAAAGAAAGTTCACGATTTCGAATAAATCAAAAGCAATAAAAACACTAAAAAAAAACTAAAATTTTAATGAGAAAGTGTTTTTATTGCTTTTGATTTATTCGCGAGGTAACTAATTCAAAAAATTGTTGACTTGGGTCGAATAATAAACAATAAGGAAGACTTTTCAAGCGCGAATCGAGCAATAAAAACACCTTCAAAAATATCTCGAAAAAAATAGTCTAATAATCACATTTCGAAATCCTTTTGCTCGCGAATACGATCAAAAAACTGTTATCAGGACTGTTTCTGAAAACTTATTTTTGTTGAAACAGTCCTCATTATGAATCAAACTAGTGAACACAACTTAGCTGAGGTTTGTTTAGTTTTTGATCAGAGTAGTCAAAAACCAGTTTTAATTTTTAAGGCAATCCAAAACATGAGTGTCAATAACCTCTTTAATGCAGAAAGTTTTATGAGAAAATTTATCCACAATAGAGCTGAAAGTTTTTGCGTTTGATTTGAACGTTGTCTAGTACCGCCACCGGCTGAACTCCAAAAACAAAAGACAAAAATTTGCGGGCCACTTTGATTACACCGAAGACTTTAGTCAAGGTGTTATGGTATCGTGTAACGGGTTTTTTTTTTAATGTTGTCTGTTGTCAAGTGTCGACAAATAACGTCCACAGTTATCAATTATCATGTGGGCTGGACTATATCGCGCTATGTCACGTGATTGTGTATGTTTGTTTCTTTATTTGTTCATCTTTATTTATTTAATTATCTGTTCTTCTATTTATTTAATTATGTTTAGTTTGCTTATATTAAACAGTGTATACATGTGTTATTACGATTTTTAGTTCTCGAACTGTTATTTCATGATCTTTGTCAATATATCAAAATTTTATTGTATACATGTGTTAGTGCCATTTTTAGTTCTCGAACTGTTATTCCATGATCTTTGTCAATATAGCAAAATTTTGGTGTATACATCTGTTAGTACGATTTTTAGCTCTAGAACTGTTATTCCATGATATTTGTCAATATAGCAAAAATTTGACGTATACATGTGTTAGTACGATTTTTAGCTCTCGAACTGTTATTTCATGATCTTTGCCAATATAGCAAAATTTTGGTGTATACATGTGTTCGTACGATTTTTAGCTCACGAACTGTTATTTCAGGCTCTTTGTCAATATATCAAAATTTTATTGTATACATGTGTTAGTACCATTTTTAGTTCTCGAACTGTTATTTCAGGCTCTTTGTCAATATAGTAAAATTTTGGTGTATACATGTGTTAGTACGATTTTTAGTTCTAGAAGTGTTATTTTATGATCTTCGTTGATATATCAAAAATTTAACCTATACATGTGTTAGTACGATTTTCAGTTCTAGAACTGTTATTTCAGGCTCTTTCTCGATATAGCAAAATTTTGGTGTATACATGTATTAGTACGATTTTTTGTTCTAGAACTGTTATTCTTCAATTATTAGTTGTTCAAGTTGCTTGGTTTTTGCTTCAGTTTCTATGCCTTCGGTGTATTGCGCGTAGGGCCTATGTTTCTAAACATCAAATGAAACCGGCTCGAAGGTTTTTTGATTATATTTGTTTTCGAGACATACAAACATTTTAGTCCACCTAAAATATTTCAACATAATTCTTGATTTTTTCGACTTTTCAGGTTTTTTAAGGTTTGTATGTATTGCAAGTGGGGTGAAGCTCCACTTTGCCTCTGTGAAAACAATTTAGTTGAATTTCTTATTTTGAATTCTCAAAAACTTTTAAATTTTTTTCTCAATTTATACCGTGCTTTAGCGTGCGTAGTGTTTTAATACGAGTAATAATGTTTTCCTACCTAATTTAAATTGGTGCTCAAGTTGGAGCTTTGACATTCAATTAGTAATCAGTAGAAAATTAGAAACTGCGCTTCATAAAATTTCCAACTCTATAATTGTCTTAGTTTTTTTTAAATGCTTGTTTTGGACATTATAAAAACGAAAGACATCAAATTAGGGGCCACATTGATTCTAGATGTCAAAAGAAACTGGTTCGAAGCTTTTGGGTTTAGTCAAATTCTGAGCGAATAAGACGAGCGAGCAATCTTTAAATATGCGGATAATTTTTAACTCAAGACTTGAAAACTTGGTTTTGCTACAATAATTTCTTGGATGGTTATTTGTTTTGTTGTTTAGTATGCCAAATTTACCATAAATACCGAAAATATTAAAGTTCCATGTTTCCGTTCAGATCCTCAAAACTCACCCTCAAAAAACACATTTTAATGAACAAATTGGAATTGTTTTTCGTTCTTGTTGTTTATTTAAAATTTGACTGACTACTTGCTCAGAAACCGGCTATACTTCGTTTCTATCTTGCGATTTTTAGTAATTTATTAAAGCAAGCGCATTCATTTTTGAAGACCGAGTCGAGCGTATTTACCCTTGCGATAAGAAAATAAGAAAGGGTTTTGCAATCGGTTGCTAGAGTTTTTTTCCCGTAAAATACAAATGGTAAATGATGGTTCAGTTTATAATAAATTCATTTTTTTCGCGTCTCCTGGGACGGCAAAGGTATTGGGTTCGTATCTAAGGGGCATACTTCTGTTCAAACGGGAAATATTCCGTTTCAATAAAAAGTGTGGGTTTTTTTTTGTGTGCTTATGTTTTGTCGGCTTAGTTGCCGCATCGTAAAATTGTTTTTTTGTTTACGCAAATAAATTGTAGTTAATTTTAGTGTTTTGATTTTTTCTGCAGTTCGTAACTTTACTAATCTTGGCTTCATATTTTTTTTTAAAAAAATTTTTATCGCTTCAAAAGTTTATTCTGCCCAAGTGATTTCGGCTTATTTTTTTTGGAGTAGTTTCAAGAAAAACATAATTTTTATGCTCCTCTCTGGATTGCACAAAATGCTGAAAATCTTAATAGAATCAGCTTAATGGTCGCCTCATATTGAGTCTTTCGACAAGCGAAAAACCTTTTTATGTGCGTGTTTCTGTGTTTTGAAGGTGGGGGGACTTAATATGTTTTTATTAGTCATAATGTATTTCGATTTATTTTCAGTTTCTTAAATTTTTTTGGCCTATTAGGTTTCGGCATATGTTATGTCGGTTTAGTGACCGCATAATGTTTCATTTGACGAGCAGATAAAATTTTATGTGCGTGTGTTTTGGGAGTGTGTGGGACTTGATAACTTTTTATAAGTCTTGTTTCTGCTAAAGTATTTTCGATTTTGTTATTGCTCGGTAAAATGTCTTCCCATAATGATTTCACATTCTGTTGTCGTGTCATGTTTTAGTTTCAAAACTAGACTGATTCATTTTGATAGATATAATTGACATTTTCCTTTTCTGTCGAATTAGCGGCTTTCCTTGTTTTGTATCGCAAGTGGTGCGAAGCTGGTGCTCAAGGAAACAAATGTTAAAGAAATTTTTGAGTTTGATCACGCATAAATGTAGTTTTTCGCGATTTGAAGTTTGATTGTTTTTAAACTCAATTCGATTCCATTTGCTACAAGAAAGGTAAATTCCTCTCTCGAATAACAAATGTTCAAATGTCGCAAAGAAGGTGAATTTTTTGTGATTGGATCTTCAGTAGTTTTTTTTTCGACTAACTAGAGTCATTCAGGTTTTTTGCGGCATTGGAACTTCTGTCATTCGAAAGCGAAATTGGCTGTCCTTTGACAAGTTACTTTGAATTGAACTTGAAAAGCAATCAAAAGTCAAACAGTGCAAAGTTTCAGTGTTTTTCTCTGATTTTCGAAACTGGACTTCCTCTTTGGCTTTTTTCCTACTGTATGTGCGTACAGTTTTTCAAGTAGATCTCGCACTAATCTTTGCCAAGATTCATTGCAAGCTTTCCGCGTGATTCAAGGGTCATGAGCTGCGACATCTGCCTAATTGAAATGTGTGTTCGTTGCTGCCTTTTTTGTTAGTTTTTATTCTTGGCCAACATCCGTGGCGGATTGGTTGATTTCCAAGGTTTGAGAGTCCCATTTACTCCATTGGATCCCTAACGATCATAGTGTTGTTTACGCTTGTTACATTTTTTTCTTTATGTTAGCGAACGCATCGTGTAAGTACAAATAAGCAAGTTGGAACCTATGAAGATTATTAAATTGCCTTGAAATTGATCAATGATATAGTGTGGTGAAGGTATTACTGTTTTTGTAACGACAGCTAGCGTGTGGTTTACTACGAGATTTTTCTCCAGTTAAGTACTTTTTGCATTCTTTTTCCCTGATAAGCTTTACTGTATTTTATGCATGTAAATAATGATAACGCACTGTCTCTGCTGCAGTAGTCTTTTCAAAAGCTTTTAATATGCGGTGTCTTCGCAATCTTGTGGAACTAGTTCATGACACCTGCTCCCAAAGGGACCAGTATGCTGACTCAGCAATTATTTGAAGGGATCAAGCCACCGCTTGCGTTCGAGAGTCATACGCCCATAGAATAGTTCAGTACAGAGTTCTATAGGGTTGGATACTATCACCCACTGTTTTTTACACCTGCAAGGTTGCGAAGTGTAGTGTATTAGTACGAGCGTTCTGTTTTTCTAACCTAATTTGCAAATAAATGTGTTCACTAAAAGTGATCACTTATTTATTGACACTTTTGATATAATCACGTACCATTGGAAAAATTAATGGCATTTGTTTTCTGCGTCATTTTGGCTAGTGTTTGTGATGGAATAAGCATCCGTGGCTGAGTGGTTGCTGCGTGAGACTCATAATCTATAAGTCGTAGATGAAATACGAAGCTTAGCCGATTTTGTTAATTCGAAGCTTATTCCTACTCTATTTTCTGCATTTTATAGAGCTGCTTTTTGTCGTAATCTCGCCACTGTTTGCGAAGCAAAACTTCCTTTGTTTAAGTTTCTACGTCCATGGCGCCTGTTCCCCACGAAAGGGGGTTCGCCTCGTCTCATATGCGGCCGACTTCCATCCCTTCCCTCGAGGCTCTGATATCGAGAAAGCATCTAATTCTGGCTACCTGAAGCATCTATACGACTTTTTCATTACTCGGAAACTAAGTTTTTGCATCTTGTGAAGGATCAGTGACATTTTTTTCATCTTAAAATACAAGACTTTTATACAAGGCATCAAGTGTAATTTTAATCAATGGGCCTCTCCCGCTTAGCAAAACAATCCTCTGACAAGGCCAGGAACAAGAAAGAGTCCTGAAAGTCTTAGCCAGTTCCACCTGGGGTCAAACCAAAGAAACTGTGATTCCAGCTTGCAAAGCCCTCATCAGACACATTCTAGGTTACGCCTCGCCTACCTGGTCATACGTTACTGGTCTTCTATTTAACTACTCGCACAACGAAAACCCTCCCGTAGATTATAATAACCGAGACAAAGTCTCCTCCATTGTTTATAAAATATTTTAAACCCATTTTAATTCTCAACCATGCAAAACAAGCAATCAATTTTCTTACCGACGTCCCACCCGCCAAGGTTTTTTGTATCCTACCACCCAAAGTTGACCTCTCAGAACAATCCTACGCCAGACATACCCGCTGTAAGCGCTCCCAACTCCGGTCCCGGTATAGCCGGCTTTCCAACATTTACCTTACCCGATTAGAGAGCTTTCTTTCTCCTCTATGCCGAACCTTCTACCTTGCATCGCACTATTTGCCTTTTTTCTACTGTCTCCAAGCATTTTCTACTTACCCTTGCAGGCCTGAGGCTTCGGCCGGTGGATGCTGCGAAGTTTCTTGACCTTGGGTCAGAACAACAACATACATGTAAATTAGCGCTAAGAGGGGCAAACACTGCTAGTTATGATTTTACACAACTAATAGTACAAGATAATAATTGAGATTTTGATAACATTTGAAGATATCAATGCTCTGACCTGAAAACTAAAAAATACTTTCCTAGCGATTTGTAAAACCCCGATATCTGCACGAAAAAAGCAGCTGAGTTGCATTTGTTTTATTTCACCTCAGAGCATGGATATCTTTCAGATGCTATCAAAATTCTGTGTAAAATTGCTAATTGTAAAACTGTAATTACTTTGAAGAAGAACCAACCCGATAACAATTTTTTCGTTCGTTTCCTGAAAATTGTACTAATTACAATAGCTTGATTTATCATTATATTCAGTATCGTTTTTTCTTTTCTAGCGCTATCTTACATATATTAGCACTTAACACAGAAATTAAATACAAAAATGTGGGGGTTTGACAATAGTTAATTTTGGCTAATTAAAACGTGTATAATTTTGTTTTTTAACGCGTAAACGGTGAATAAATTCGGCTCAGAAAACATTTTTAATTGTTAAAATATTTGAGCACACAAACAATCAGTTTCCTCTTGCGTTCTCTGGTGTTTTTGCTTGTGTATGTTAAGTGCAACTTCGTCTGTATTCCTATATCATAGTTGTTTTTTTTTTAATTGACTCATTGTTTTTGTGCCCAAGTGTGACCTAGTGTCTGTTTTTTTATGTAAAATGAATGTCATATGGGTCACGTGATATATCATTTTGAAGTCTCGCAAATTGATGCGAAATTGAAAATCAGTGTCAACAACAGCCTGAACTGAAAAAAAAATGTTCAAGTTTCGATCATGTCGCGCTGAACAAAAAACGGCCGAAAATTTATCAAAAGATGAATGATTAGATGTTCTCCATTTTAAATGCCAGAACAATTTTGCTTACCGACTTCAAGCTCTGGAAGTCAAATAGTATACTAATTCCTTTTTAAAAGTGGACAAATTTTTTTCGAGCGCTCCACCTCTTGAATACTCGGTAAGCGTGTTCCTTTTTTTATGTCTTTCTTCCTTCATTTCACTTGTACTTCAATAACCACAGAATAATGGTGTTTATTGCCAGTTTATGTTGTAAAGCGTGCAAATTTGTTCTCTCGGAAGCACTTTCAGGAAGTCTTAGATTGTAAACTTTAGTTATTAATGAGAACGTGCCAGAAATCTGAAGTACCATTATTCGTACCAAGGAAAAGATGCTAATGAAAACCATTAAATTTCACCCCTAAGAGGACATTGCACTCCTATCTTAACTTAGAACATTTTGCAATTGCAGTTAATGAACTGCGATTGGAGGTGGAGATTTCAGGGAGGTGTTGTTTTAGTTTTTTTTTAATTTATGAAAGCTGTAATTTTTGATATCTTCAAAAGTTCAATTTTAGCTCATCATATGGAGTCAAGTTTAGCCTACCAGCCGTTAATTTTTTTGCTGTGCGGCGATAGATTCTAGAATATATTCTAGAATATTCGAGATAGATCAAGAATAGATTTTTTAAAATGTTATTCGCAGTTTTTTAGAAATTAAATTAGTCGAATTATAAAATTTCGAAATAAATAAAGCACACTTTTAAAGTACCGCAATTATGAGGATCTTACAATTTCGCCATTAACGGGGATGATGAGCATCTTAATTGAAACCATACTCAACGGTACGAAAGTCAAAATTGTTGTCGGTACATAATTATATAACAAACAAGAGTAGTCCTTTGCTGTGCAAGTAGCGCACAATGTTCCGACGACAGTTATCATTGCAAAAAGAAAATGTTTAAGAAAGGGCGAAACCGAAACTGGTAGAATTGTGTGGGAGGAATAATTTCAAATTTCTTCCTTTCAGTTTTTAGTTTCGGTTTCTTCATGAAGTTTTATACGACGACAGATCTTGCCATGATATCATGCATCATATATCAGCGTTAAAGTTTCTCAAACAATTGTTGCGTGAACTAAGATTTACGATGAATGTCTTCATTTGTTAAATTATGAAAGTATTACTGGCGGGATGATATTTTATCTAATGAAATAGCAATTGGAGTTCAACTTCGAAGAATAAAGCAGCATTATACTTATGTAACAGTTCTATAGCAGTTACGAAAATCGTGCAAATTGCAATGCAGATGATGATGAAACTTTCGGGTGATCAATACTCTGCTAATTTGTTGTCGTAATTTGCGGTCGTAGTTTTGTTGACACTCGCTCTGTTTTTATGTGCTGTATTGTTGTGTTTAGGTGTGATGTTCCGGTTCAACCTGTTCTCCTTTATCTACCTCCTCTTCCTCCTCTGGCTGCCCCTCCTCTCCTCCCCCTCCGACAGGACCATGCGAGGTGAGTCACACTCCTCCAAATATATGAAGATTCAAACTTAATTACCAGTTTTATTGTATGTTGACATGCTCAGTTTTATAAAATTTCACATTAACTGCCAGTTGTTATTACGCTTGTGACTATCTATTTATTTTTCTTACATCACTGTTCCCTAAAAAAGCTAGAGAAGTCGTTCTCTTAATCGGGCTGAAATTGTTTCAAAAATGTTTCAGAATGGGAAAAACAGGCAATCGAATTTTAAAAAAGTTGAAAAGAATTAAGTTAAAAATAAAAATAAGAAAAATTGGCTTTCCTGCAACAGTCAAAAATTTGTACGTATTAAGAGTTTTTAAACCCGCCTCACATTTTGTTATGACAAGTCTGTTTTTGGATCAAAAGAGGCCCACCAAAGTGTTGTCGGCCTAGTTGACGACCAGTAAATTTTTTTTACTGCTCATTTGTCGACCAGTAAATTTTTCTTCATGCTTATTTTAGGCTGTCGATTGTTTTTTCTTCAATTTGAATAAATATCATTCGAGACAAACATATGAGTTTTTTGTTGATATAGTTTTTTCGAAATTAAAAATATCAACTTGGCTTTCGTCTTTTTGTCTTTTGTCTAGCTGTCATGCTAGATTTGTGTTGCATCGCAAATGTTGCCAATGGTGGCCAAATATCTAGGCACAAACTATCTATCATCTCGAAATAAAGAAAAATGAAATCCAAAATCGTTTGGAAGACGTTTTTTCTGGTTTTTTGATATGAAGTCTCTTTTGTAACGACATTTCGTGCAAAACACATTTTGATCAGATCAAATTCTGTTATTACGCTTGCCATTAGTAAGCGATATCAAACTGGAATATAGACTTTTTAACAGAATCACTTAAAACTTGTTTAACAGAATCACTTGATTCACTTGTATCTTGGTTCATAATGAATTCTAACTTCTATGCGAGTCCGGCACTTCGCCTGGAGGTAGAGAATAGACCTGGGACAAAAAAAGTATTTACACTTGCGAAGCTAGTGTATCAGTACGAACCTTCTTTTTTCGGCAGTTTGGTGCGGCACTTACGTGTGGCACCCAATAATGGTGGGGCAGCCGTACAGCTTTTTGATCGCATTTGCTTTGACATTCGAATACTAATATATTAACACAGTCGATGCATTTTTAATTCATCAAATGATCCGAAAAAAGCTATTTGTTTCAAACAATATCAGAATCATAAAAACTCGATTTTAGAAATTTTCCCACTCAATATAAATTGCATTTTTTTTACGAAATGCATATTGAATTGCATAATTTGTACATAATGTAGCTTTATGCTTTGCGATTTTTTACATGCAAAGTTAGTGTGGATGCCTTCAGTTTGTTATATTCCAAAAAAATAATTGTGAAATTAAGTCTATTTGTATTTTGTGCTGAATAGCATTGGTAATTTGTTAGCATATGAAGCTGCTTTTTTTCGTTACTAGTGTTTGTCGGTTGTTAAGCTTGAGTGGCTGAGGGGATAGTGCATGATACTCAAATTCTCTTGATTGCAGTAGGTCGCAGACTTTTTCGAGACTTATTTCTAATTTTTCTTATTTAACTTGATGGAGCTGTTTTTAGTCGTGTTCTCGCAAGTGCGTGCGAAGCACAGCCTCGCCTCTGTGTAAAATTTTTTAAAAAAGGATGTTAGTTTTCAAAAACGGATTTTCGAATAAAAGGATAATAATGTAAAGATCCTCTGCTCCCTTTTGTGCCTACGTACTCCCCTAGTCTCTTGTCTCTTACAGGCATTGTGAATCTCTTCTGTGTAAGCAGCTACGCTGAAGTTCTTTAACAAAAGAAGCTTTGATTCTAGAAAAAATCCATTTTTGTTTTTGTGGAATCAGATTTGTGGAATCAAGGGATGAATTGAGTGAACAGGGTATTAAAAGCACATTTATAAATAAATACACTTAACTTCTTTTAGAATAAAGTGATTGCTTTCTAATAAGTTTTGAAATCTTTACTGTTTTATGGACAATGTTCACAATGTTGGATTTTTTGCCAATTCTCAGGTTAAATGGCGATTCGAGAAATCCGGTTTTGGAAGTCTTCACTGCTGAAGTGGCATCGGCGTACTTTAAGCAGAAAAATAGTTGCTGATATCGAAATTGAAATTTTTGAACTTCTGACCATTTTTTCGAATCTTTTCGACAAAACTTTTTCACTTTTGTCTTAAAAACTACCCTGTCAAATCTGAGATGCAGGGTTCAACCGAATGAACTGGTTGCCATTATTTTCCTACCGAACCGGTAATTTTTTTTTTTGTAATATGAATGTGACTTCCTTGGGAAAATTCCAATATCTCAAAAAAATTTCACTCCTCTCACTTATTTTAGTAGAGAAACAACCAAGGTCTTGGGAACAGTCTTATTTTTGAAAATACCCATTTCATACCGCATCAGTAAAACAAATTCAAACAGTGTCAAACACGTGCCTACAGCTTTGCTGGCCCCTGTTATATTTTTTGATACTCGAAAATTTTGGTTCACCTAGTTTGTTTCGACTTGTGTGTTTTTATGTTTGTGTTGTATCGCAAATGGTACGAAGCTCCGCTTTGCCTTTTTGCATAATAACATAACTCATTTTTTGAACCGAAGGCAGTTTTTTCATTATGAATGTCATTGCTTTTTTGAATATTTAGTTTAAACTGTCTTTGTAAATGTCCAGTGATTTGACTTTTCTGCCAAGCGGCTAAATCATTTGTTGCTTAGTTGCTTAATATACAGTTTATATGACTGTCTCTCCTAATCAAGATAGTTCTGCAAAATGCGTGTGTTCTGCAATGTGTAAGGTCGTTTTTGATTTTCCTCAGTTAATTTCAGTTCAAAAGGGTTGGTGTCAGTTGCTAAAACTTGCTAATCTCGATAAGTGCTTAGAACCTAGAGAACCTAATCTGACAACAAGCAATAAATTTTAATGATTTCACTGGAGAACTTGTGGATAAAATTTCGTTTTTAATGGTCAAGGAAAAATCGGCTATGAATGGTAATTTTTATTCTTTTTTTCCCTTGTTTGATAATAATTATCATTGCGAATTGCGTCTTCACCTCTTTTTGATGTTTTAATTGTCGAAATTCAATTACTTGAATAGTTTTTTGCTTAAAAATAGTTAAACTTCTGCAACATTCAAAAAGTTTGTTGGTTTGTTTTGCACCATTTAATAATGGTTTTTCACATCATCATTTCCGTTTTTGTATCGGTATGTTTGTTTTTGTATTCATTTCTGGTTTGTTTGTTTTTTGTATTGATTTCTGTTTTTTTGTATTCATTATTGGTTTGTTTATTTTTGTTAGGAAGTTTGCGTTGTAGTTGAGTTATTGAATGGCGTGACTGATTTTTTCCATTTCAATTTTTCAATTGTTATCCTTGCTTGCTATTTTTGCATAGACTTTTTGATCTTGTTTTCATTTTTTCCGATGACGGCATAGGACACATGGTCACATATATTTTTGTCTAGACTGCCATTGCATCAAAAAGCTTAATAGCAATTTTATCATGTTGAATGGCAATCATGTGTAAACATGTCATTGATCAAATTGATGGAACCCAATTATCTGTCATTTTTAGAAATTGGGTTTTACAGATTCCAATTGCTATTCTCGTTTTGGTTTAAAAAATTAATGCACTTTTTACCCAACGGATAATTTTCCGTTGAATAATAGACTAATTTACGATGTTTTGTAGAAATTAATTCTTCTTTCTTTCTAATTTTCTTCGTAGACAGTTTTTTTCATTAAGGTGGTATTTCAAAATTCAAATAATTAATTGCGTCTGGTTTCCATATCCAGACTTTCATTTCCCGTCAAAAATCATACTGTCATTGGCTGAAAGACACTAAAATGTTAGGTATAACGTATGCGTAGGCTGCATCTATTATCTTTGACCGGCATTTGCGTTCTCTAAATTAAGAAAGAAATTTTATGTTTGTAATAATTAAACCGATACTACTCTGCTAAACAAGAAAGCGCTTTGCATATTGATTGATGAAAGTAGCCATACAGGTAGCCCCTAAATCAATAAAGGAAACGCGCCAATAAGGGTCTTTGAACTTGACCTAGTGCGAGCTGAAGTTGTGAAATTTGGTGCGGTGATCAAAGTGTTAATCACAGGAGACATTTATAGATATAGATCATATGCCTTAGCGGTATCTTTGTCACTTTTTCTCATTCAGAATCGCTTTTTATGCATAAATTTTTTGAATTTCCTTCATAACGCTGTGTTCGTTTGCTCATTTTTGAATGAAAATGTGACTGACATGCCCTAAGAATTTATATCCGTAAATAAAATCAGTTTAAATTTAAATTGAGTTTAGGTTCGATCCCCACTCATCAAATTTTTTGGAGAAGTTGGTCTGATGTAAAAAAAAAAGAACACTCCAATAATACAGACTTCTCACTTTCTTCGAATTGGGTTCCATTGATACATTCGTACAACCCAATGTAGGGAACGTCTGCAGACTTAGTTGTTAATATATTACAGCGCAAAAATGCAAAGTACACCCAACAGACATTGAAACATCATAAACGTATGGTGTTTTATATTTGACGACTACAGATATCCAGAATCACCCTTATTATATACTGGATACTGAATACGTGATACTAGATGTTGTATAAACTGATGATGTTAAACTGTTGCCTATTTTTTCAGCTTTGCATGTTGATTGATAAATCAATATGCAATTGGTTCACAAACATGCTGAAGTACTATTCTTTAGTTAAGATCCTCTCATCACACCACAGACAAAAATTGACACAATTTGAAAAAAAAATTTTTTTTTTATTGAGTTCGGTACTTTTTGTTGGTACTTTGCGCAGACAGCAACTGGCTATCCCTGTTATTATTTTGTTCTGCAAAACATGTCTATTAGTCCTTCGGATTAGTGTGATGTTTACTCTTAGATTTGACAGCCTGCTGTTTCTTGCTCAAAAAAGTTGATTTAAAAACATCAAGATAAAAGGTTCAATTCAGACCCATTTTGTTGCAATAG